GGGTCCAGGTGGGACCCACGTGTCCAGGTCGGATCCAGGTGTCCGGGTCCAGGTCCAACTCACGCGTTGGGGTCCAGGTGGGACCCTCATGTCCAGGTCAGATCCAGGTGTCCGGGTCCAAGTGGGACCCACGTGTCCAGGTCCAACCCATGCGTTGGGGTCCACGTGGGACCCACATGTCCAGGTCTAACCCACGCGTTGGGGTCCAGGTGGGACCCACGTGTCCAGGTCGGATCCAGGTGTCTGGGTCCAGGTAGGACCCATGCATCTGGGTCCAGGTGGGACCCTCGTGTCCAGGTCCAACCCACGCGTCCGGGTCCAGGTGGGACCCACGTGTCCAGGTCAGACCCATGCATTGGGGTCCAGGTGGGACCCACGTGTCCAGGTCGGATCCAGGTGTCTGGGTCCAGGTAGGACCCATGCATCTGGGTCCAGGTGGGACCCTCGTGTCCAGGTCCAACCCACGCGTCCGGGTCCAGGTGGTCGCACCTCCTCCCTCCCTGCTCCCTCCCAGGATCCTGCTGACGGTGGTGGTGATCTTCCGCATCCTGATCGTGGCCATCGTGGGAGAGACGGTGTACGAGGACGAGCAGACCATGTTCATGTGCAACACGCTGCAGCCGGGCTGCAACCAGGCGTGCTACGACAAGGCCTTCCCCATCTCCCACATCCGCTACTGGGTCTTCCAGATCATCCTGGTCTGCACCCCCAGCCTCTGCTTCATCACCTACTCCGTCCACCAGTCGGCCAAGCAACGGGAACGGCGCTACTCCTTCCTCTACCCGCTGCTGGAACGGGACGGGCGCGAAGCCAAGAAGACCAAGACGCTCAACGGGGTGCTGGTACCCAGCCCCGAGGGGGGCTGCAAGGAGGAACCCGACTGCCTGGAGGCGAAGGAGCTGCCCGGCCCGCCGCCGCGGCCCCCCCGCAGCTCCAAAGCCAAGCGGCAAGAGGGCATCTCCCGTTTCTACGTCATCCAGGTGGTCTTCCGCAACGCCCTGGAGATCGGCTTCCTGGCCGGGCAGTATTTCCTCTACGGATTCAACGTGCCGGCCATCTTCGAGTGCGATCGTTACCCGTGCGTCAAGGAGGTGGAGTGTTACGTCTCGCGGCCCACCGAGAAGACCGTCTTTTTGGTTTTCATGTTCGCCGTCAGCGGCGTCTGCGTCCTCCTCAACCTGGCCGAGCTCAACCATTTGGGTTGGCGCAAGGTCAAGGCTGCCGTCCGCGGGGTGCAAGCGCGTCGCAAGTCGCTGGTGGAGGTGCGCAAGAAGGACCTCTCCCCGCCGGCCCCCGCGCCCGCGCTCGGCCGGACGCAGTCCAGCGAATCCGCCACCGTCTGAGCCCCCCGCCCCAAAATCGCCGGGGCCCCCCCGCTCCGGTTTGCCGCAAGGGCTGACGCCGGCTTTCGGCGTCGATCGCGTCATGGTGCAAGCGGGGAGTGGGGGGGG